TGACATCATTTCCACAAAAATTAAGTGAAAATAAAGCTGTTTCACATTGCTCAACTATTCATGCTGTGTGGCCGAGTGATCTAAATTTAGCCAATCCCAAGCTTGTGGACTGGAGTTCCAGTCAAGGCTAGACAAGCAATAATAACACCAGCACCCCAGGTGGATGACACACGTTACCCTGGGATTACAGTGTATCTTATTGCCTTGGAAATCTTCGCATACGTAGAGCGAACAATAACAATATTCTTGCTGGTGCACGTTTTTTAATATCCTGCCATCATGTTTGCTTCATAGCCATATCCCTGATTTAAGCATAGACTTAGATGCCATCATGTTTGCTGCATTGCCATATCCTTGATTCAAGTATAGAATTAGATGCTGAGCTAATGTTCCAATGAAAGGATTAAAATGCTTCTTCACTCGACTAGCCAATCAAAATAATGCTTGTTTACATTAATTCCAGACAAGCCAATCCAAATGAAGCTTATTTAACTTCACTCCAGACTTTATTATATCGGGATTGTTGATTTCGGGGGAGCACGGCCAAATGCTGTATAAGACATTTATCCAAAGACTATTCTACCTCAAAAACTGTACAATTTCGGCGTAAACAAATAAGTCGTTAACTTTTCTACAGTGCAACAATTGGAAGCCTGCTTAATATCACCATTACCTGCTGGTGTGGAAATTCAACGTCTGATATTAAACACCACATAAACAGACTGACAAAGAAAGCTAGGAACTAACACAAACTAAACATCCTTTACTTGAAGAACTATTTGAAGAAAGATGTTATTGTAAAACTAAAAACATTTTGGATGATACATCCCACCTTCTTCATCACATATACTTAGGATCGGGCCGTTCGGGACGAATTGTTTCCATCAGGGCGAGGACTGACAGATATAAAAATTCTATTGTTCCCCAATCTGTATGGTTTTACCAGCGTGCTCCCCCTGAAGTCAAAAATCTTAAAGAGAACTAATAAGTCCCTGATATGGCTAAGAGAACTCACTGAATGGCTGTTTGAAATAATTTTTATAAATGTCTTATGTTCCAAGTGTTTTATTTAAGTGCTGAAAATGTTTAATGCCAAAATAAAACATTTCCATTTATTTGGATCAATAAAATTATCTAATCTTTTTGGAGACACAAAAATACAAATCTCATTTAAAGGTCCACTTTGAGCTCGATTGGCCCCGACACAATGTCCAGACTGCACCTCTCTACTCAGGCCTGAGCTTAACTGTATGTTGATTTATGCGTTAAGCGAATCTTGATTGTTGTGATTCAATCTGTATTAATCTTAATAGCTACGAAGAAGGATGAAATTTTTACCTATTTTTGGAGTCATTGTTAGCAGTTATTAAATAGATTATATATATATATATATATTATATAAAATGTCCTAGCTAGTGGATGTTGTCCACATTGCTCATATTTCGCTCTACGGAACTCCAATGTTGTCATCGCGGACAGTTCGTATAAAACATAAATTGCCATTATTGAAATGTGTATACTGACACATATTTGGTTTTATTGGTTGATGTAAGAATTATGAATGCTCGATTTACGTCATCAAAGACAATGGCTCATTTAGTAGGTTCTTATTTGTTCAATGAAAAGGCAAGAATTATATAATTGGAATTAGGGATGGAATTTTGCTATTTAATAAAAATTCCCAATATAAATGTATTTTTGTCATCAAAATATCATCTGTAAGCCGTCACCACCATCATCAACAAAATCAGTACCCATCAACCCCAACAGCAAAATCACAAGTACCCTTCACCACCCTCATAAAAATCACCAGTAAACCGTCACCACACACATCAACATCATCAGTAACCCGTCATCACCCACAAAAACCATCAATAACCCATTACCCCACATCAACATAATCATGACCCATCACCACCCACATCAACATCACCAGTAACCCGTCACAACCCACATCAACATCATCATGACCCATCACCACCCACATCAACATCATCAGTAACCCATCACCACCCACATCAATATCATCAGCATCCATCACCACCTACATTAACATCATCAGTAACCCATTACCACCCACTCTATTTAGATTCAATACGTTATGAGCCTCCCTCTCCTCGTGTTTTACATGTGCAGCAAAGTGGCTTTCCCATTTAATATATAAGAAATACACAGGAAATGTTATTGTCAACCCCATTCAGTGCGCACGGTGTTGCGCTCTCATTCGCCGCTTCCCATATCTTGACGTTGATTGCGTATGTTCTAAATTTACACAAAAGATCATCTAGATCATAAACTTTGATGCAATAATTCAATGTCCTTTAAGAGATCTCTTCTTCTTCTATATCTTAAGGGCCCACGATCAATTTATTTATCATTTTGGCTCCTATGCATGTAGATCTATCTGGCTGTATTATTAAAATTGAGATCCAGACGTGATATGAACATCATTACAAAACTTTTTACCCCTTGGTTTGTGTCAGAGTAGTTTTAACCTCTCATAAACTGAGTTTCTACGGTAAACGCGTAAGGTTAAATAGCTTTGGTCTTCGTTGACCCATCCAGTATAAATATATTATACCTTCTTGAATATTTTAATAGGGCATCTCTTCACACGGGGCTCCAGTTGGCAAGTATGTGGTGGCTTGCTGATCAGGATGCATAGGCTACCGACCTTCTCACCGTTACCCAAGGAACAATATCACTGTAGCGCGTCCTGCTTGTGCAGACAACGGACATGCCTGGTAAAAGGCATAGACAGGGTAGGGATCAGGATTGTAAGTTGCAGTTAATAGATATGAGGCTAGAGGTGAAGATGGTAACCTCTAGCCAATGATTTCTACTTTGAAGTCCTGAGAAGCTTCTCTAAGGCAACCGTTTCATCCCAGCTACGTCACAAATTATTTGCGTTGTGAAAACCCGCGTAGAAAGTCTCTTAAAGGGTGCCCAACGCTTACCCGGGATGGGTGGGGGAAGATATAAGGACGTAAATTTACCATCCCAACTCTTGAGAAAGTTGATAGTGTGCACTGTGTGCAAACACAGTGTCGGACCACCCGGGTGTCTTTGGGTTGGGGTGGCCTCCAGCGGAACGACATTGAGTGGACTTGGGTAGGGGGCTTTCCTGGCAAAGAGACATCTCGAACGAGCCGCTTAGCGGCCCGATACCGGGCTTAAGAGGGTGCTTTGGGGAGGGCATAAAGGGCATTAACTCGGCGGCCCGCTGACGCCATTTTTTAATCTGACAGTTCATTAGGGTATCCAAATCACTAGTCTAATTTGTTATGCATGTATTCTATTTAAGTTGAATAGCTTAAACTTAAATATTTGATGACAAATAAATATATTCTCAAAGTCAACAACAATATTAGTTATTGTGCTACGGGCAGAAGAATAAATTTCACTAGTTTTTTTGTTTAAGAGTTCGACTGTATTACTTAACCACACTGGCTAACCCCCCCCCTCCCCCAGACCGACCCACACAAAACCCCATATCCACCAAAACCTAAGTGGAAAGGGTGTTTGCTACCCGAAGTCCATAGTCTCGATGAGATCTTCCTTCATGTACACAGTCCATAGTCTCGATGAGATCTTCCTTCATGGACACAGTCCATAGTCTCGATGGAGACATGGAATTGCCCAAAAGCAGTGAAAATGTGAGGGGGATCACAGCATGGGGACCCCAGATGATTACCAATGCCATAAAATGCAACCCTCAACCAGAACAACTAGAGGCAGTGCTAAGAACGATTAACGCCTACTCGGACAGAGTGGTCAAAGTCTTCATGGACCGCTCATGCTTCGCTGGGGAGAACGCAGCTGCTACAGTGCTCTCATGCAGTATCCAACTGAGATCGCTCCACCCGATGAGCTATCACAGCCCAGTTGAAAGAACAGAACGAGCTTCGATGCGGAAATTATAGCAATACCGGTTGCCCTAAAGAGAATCAAACAACGCCTAGCGAAAAGAAAAATTACCCGGACATTGTGGTCTTTACCGACTCACTCTCTGCACTCGAGCATGTGGGAGGGGGCTCGACGGAAACCACAATGGGGAATGTCATTTGGAGACAGTAGGTAAAATCCATTGTAAAGGCGGCAGTAATCCTGCAGTTTACTGGGCAATGTGAAATGGAGCTGAACGACAAGGCGATCTATTTGGCAAGAGAAGGAGTGACCCAACCACAACCCGAAAAAACCATGACCCAGCATGGGATCCAGGCCTGGTTGAAAGACCATTTCCGTCAGAAGTGGCTTAGCGATTAAGCCGCAGGAGAAACTTGATGGCAGCTCTATTGGAAAATGCTGCGACCGAGCAAAAGTGATCAGTGGTGGAAGCTAAAGTGAGGCAAGCAGAATCTAATAACCCAGATGAAGGCGGGCCATGGTGCGACGCGAAACTATTTCCTTAGATTTGATGACAGAAGGGATCCCAACTGACGATTTTTTAGCCAGACAGAAGAGACAGTGTCTCGCCTGGTGGTTGACTACCCCGGAGGAGGTGGAAGGTCTGGACGCATAGACCTGCATTGAAAACATGATTACACGGTGATGTCCACCAAATGAGACCAGCCGCCGAAATATTGGCCAGAGCTATGAGAAAGTTATCTTACCCACATTAGAGGATTTAACATTTTAAGTAACTTGTATAACATTGAATAACTTGTATAACACTGAATCATTTGTATAACATCTAATCCCTTGTAGAAAATAGAATTATTTGTATAACATTGAATCTTGTATATAACATTGAAGTACATCTATAACATAGATTCACTTGTATAACATTGAATTAATTGTATAACATTGAATTACTTGTATAAAATTGAATAACTTGTAAAACATTAAATTGCTTGTTCAACAATCAATCACTTGTGTAAGAAATTTTGACTTGCATCTTATCTTAAAATTTGAACCACTCTTACAAGTTCACTCTTGTATTCCTTTTTCATTATGATAAATTTTTCTCGCACCCATTATACATTTGAACAAGAAAGTGCTCAATATTCATAATATGTTTTTTATTGTCAATCTGCAGATTTATTGTTGTCAATATATTGATTTATTTTTGTCAATTTAAAGATCTATTGTCGTCAATTATTTGGGACAATCTACAGCAATTCTGGTAAAAAATTCCCGAATGTCCACTGCATCGCATTCCCCGTCAACCTCCATATCCGGCAGACTGAAGAACCAGGTCTGAAGACTGGACTCCACGCACGTGCAGACCATTCTTTCATTTTCACCGAGGTCCAAAGTCATTAAATGTGTTAGCTTTAACAGTGCCAGTGGCACCCTGGTCAAATTCGTCCCTTCAAGCTGAAGGGAAATCAAAGGGGTTTTCAAGAATGCATCGACGGCTATTCTAGTAATCGGATTGTTGCTGAGAACCAAGTCGCGAAGATTTACGGCATTTGAGAAGGTCTCGGTGTAAATGTTTGTAATACGGTTTCCTGTGAGATCGACAGATTTTACGGTAGGGTTCACATTCGTAATGTCTATGATTTGGTTCCACTTTAAATATAAAAAATCGAGTCTGTTAAGCGCTAAAATAGCTTGTGGTATTTGTGTTAGATTTGAGTAGGACAACTCAAACGTGGACAGGGAGTGAGCGATGTGTACTAAAGCATCCTCGGGGATAGACCAGATCTGAGTTGTTGAGAGTTGTAATGCGGTAAGAGAAGAGAAGTACTTAAGCCAGACTGGCCATGCCTTGAGCCCAGTGTTTGTCGACCCAAAGTCAGTCACAGCTGACCCAATTTTCTGAAGGACGGGGACGTTCCAGTCTTGGATGTTGACATCATTGATCTCAAGCGTTTGTAAAGATGTCAAATTCAAGAATGCGTTTGGGATGTGATTAGGCATTGAGTTCCCGAATGCAATTAAGTTTAAAGTCGTGGCACAGCTGTCGAAGGCATCGTCGGAGATGTACTGCAGAGGGGTGTCGTAGAAAGCGAGGGTGTTTAAACCAGGCGGTAAAGAGTTGCCTGATAAATTAGCAATTGAAGTGCTCTGCAGAAATAAAGAAAGAACGAATTTGCATCAAATTCGGAGCGAGGTTGTAGCGAAAATGAATATATCTTGAGAAAAAAAAATGGTTTTAGATTCAAAGTTGGCAATTCAATTTCAATCCTAAATAAGGAGATAACTCTTTATGAAAATTACATTAAAAAGGAACACATTCTATTCGAATACATTCACTCTTTCACTTTCTCTTTCTTTCTTTTTTTTCAACTTCTTGTCTGCATGTCTAGAACTTGTCCATTTTTTGTTTCTCTCATTATTTATTAGTATTTAGTGGATAACAGGGGTAAAATTATCTAAGTATTCTTTCTTTGTAATGATTAAACTACCGTAAATGTCAACTGGGAAATATGGAATCCACAATCAATAAAATCCGGTAGGGATGTAATGTTTGCGCCAGTACAAACTGCCTCTTCTCCGTTAGATTGGCATTCCTGTAATGTAACAGAAAGTTCATATCTATTATAAAATAATTTCATCAATGTCATGATGTGTGTCTCCAATTTGAAATGTGAAACACAAGGTTTTTTAAACGATATAACCCATCTAAACGAACATAATATTTTAAGAATATATATATATATTTTTTTAAAGCTTGTTGCAAATCTGTAATATTCAATCAGTTATTACAAACACATAACAAATAGGAGTTTAAAACTTTCCACTTGAGCCAATCACCCTCTGCTTGAGTCAATGACCCTCTACTTTAGTCAATCACCCTCTACTTGAGTCATCGTTTCTTTGAGATTATATTGCGAGTGTGTTTATTTTGAAAAGAATGACAGATCCGTTTCTTGCACAGCAAGCAAAATTAATTTTGTTATAACTATTATTTTACATACTTGGCTTTTCTTACGTTACTTACTGTACCTGATTTACTTACTGTACCTGATTTACTTACTGTACCTGATTTACTTATTATAAAAAGTGTCAATAGAACAATATGAGTTAGCTTTAATAATAATTGTACATTATACAGAATTAAACGTTTCGGCACATGCCTTCATCAGTACAAACAAACACAACACATTTAAATAAGTATAAATTAAATTTACATAATGTCAATATATATATCCTACCTAAAACAGAAAAAATATAGGAGAGGGCGCTTAAACCTGACAAAAACAAAGTAAAGAGATGTAGAAAGGAAGTGATTCAAACATAATTGGAAAAACCAAACAGGAAAAAGACATGGCAGCTAAGTAAAACTATGGATTTGGTTCAATCCATATGGAGACAATGTACCAATGTTCTGATTTACTTACTGTACCTGATTTACTTACTGTACCTGATTTACTTACTGTACTTACTTTTGGAATACAATTGTTACCAGTATCTTGACAAAGACTTCCATGGACCAAATAAATCAGGATTACAACTGGTACATAGAACATTATGGTATTGTTTTCTTTAATTTCTGGTCATCACAGAACCATGACATCGCACTGATGTTAACATATGATATAATCATATAAACATTCATGGTAACATTTTATATAAAACATATAACAATGATGTTAACATATGATATAAACATACAGAATTGATGTTTACATGACATGCTACCAATTGATTTAATAATATAACATTGAGGTTAACATTTGATTTAATCATATACAATTTATTCTAATATATTATATAATCAAATAGTATTGATGTTAACTTGTGACATAATCACATAACATTGAGGTTAACATGTGTCATACTTTCTTTAATTGACTTTAATTACTTTAATTGACTTTAATTACTTTAATTGACTTTAATTACTTTAATTGACTTTACATTCTTTAATTTATTTACTTACTTTATTATTTTTGGTTATTTTACATGCCATAAACATGAAATAGAAAGCACACAAATTAATTAATGACATGGGAACAGACAGATTAGTTCCCTTAAAAGTAGACACGCTTTTCAAAAGAATTTAATGTTTCTAAGCTGTTCCAATAAATCCCGCATCTTAAGAGCCATAATTTACAGAACGCTCTTGTGTACTGTTTTATTGACCTTGTACCACCTTTTTACATGTTATTTTTTTTTCTGTCATCATGAGACAGCCAGGTTAACTGACTTAGATAAGACTAAAGATTACTGTATCATTTTATCCATTTTCTATGAACTTATTGGGTCATGTATTTATACGTCATTAAAAAGAGTGGGACATGTATGTGTTCGTCATTAAATGGAGTGGGTCATGTATGTCTACGTCATTAAATAAAGTGGGTCATGTATGTGTACGTCATTAAATCGAGTGGTTCATGTATGTCTACGTCATTAAATGGAGTATATGGGAACCATTCTCATAAAGAGAAAGGTAGGTATGTTTAAAAAACGCATGTAGTTTTATATATGGTTTAAAAGGATTTGAAAAGACTTAATTTGATACCAAATAAACATTAACCTCCCTGTTAAAATTTGCTGGGATAATCTGAAATAGTCAGCTGTAAAACTAGAGCTTTGATAAAACGGGTTTTAAAGGTAGCATTGTGTTACGCTGAAATCCACAGCAACCATGATCGTGTTATGAACATATCTATACAGCGCTGGAAACTATATGCCATTCCCTTCAATGTGAAATCAACAATGTCTTTGTTTTAGTAAAGTGAAGTGTCGAGTATCAGCGTTCATTAGTAATTGTTACGACTCAATATTATGTTCATTAGTTGTTGAACGCTTTTCCCGCGCTTGACTATTATAGTTAGTGAACGCTCTTCCCGCCATTGTCTTTATGACGTATTTTTATGCTGAGTCGTGACGTATTGTCTATGCAGTGTTGTGACGTATGTTGTAGTCGTGCGGCAGTCTTGAGTGGAACCTTGGAGTGATAGGATGTTTATTATATTTACTTAGATATTAAAGTTATAGTTATTATGAAAAGGAGTTGAGTTTGTTAATTGATAGTGAGAATAGTACGACGCTTCAACGTATGAAAGAACTGACGAATGTAATCAATCCAAGAAGACGTGTAGGAGTTGACATGAAGCAATGTGTTTCTTAAGTAAATGAACAAGCTGTTTTGAAAAAAAAAAGATAAACTGCTCTTATGTCCATTTAGTTGATTCAGCCAATCATACATGGCGTATTGGCTGAAATAGATTTTATAACTGAGGCTAATTTAAATATGAATTTAATTTCTTAAGAATTTTGTTTTTATCTTAAAATTTTCCCTTAAACTTTTTCTGATTGTTTTATAAAAAATAAATAATACTACGGTAAAAGAAGAATGTATTCCTGTCCTTTGTATTGATGTTCAATCTCTCCTAAAGGCAGCAGGTGCTGACTCTCTTAAGATGTTCTCTGTGGTGAATGACCTTCTCGGGGAGAAATCAGCACCACTTGTTTTGCCTAACATGAGAAGCGACCAAGCTGCAGTTAAACTGAGTGATTTTTTCACTGACAAAATTGAAACAATCAGAAAGCTTTGGGGAACGTTGTGATTTTTCTGCAGTGGAGAATGTATTTGAAGGAATCTTCTAGTTAAATTTCACCAGTTTCCCCAAGGAAAAATTAAGACATATAATCATGGTGTCTAAACCTACATGTTCTATTGTTGACCCCATCCCTACCAAGATTGTTTTAGACTGTCTGGAAGACTTGCTTCCTTTATTAGTTGACATCGTGAATAGTAGTAGGCTGCCGGCTTCCACAGTCCCACGTCTCTTTTAGGTGATGGTCGTTAAGCCTCTGCTTAAACAAATTGGCCTGGACCCAAATGAATGCAACAATTTTCGCCCGGTCTGCAACCTGCCCTTGTATCTAAGATTCTTAATAGAGTTGTGTCAAAACAGCTTGTGCAGCATCTTAGCACTTAAGACTTGATAAGTTTCAATCTGCATATCAACCTAGACACAGTTGTGAGACGTCACTTGTCCGTGTCATGAATGATGTTCTTTGTAGTGCTGACCGCAGTGATCTGACAATACTGGTCCTGTTGGATCTCAGTGCTGCTTCTTATGTGATTGACCATGAGCTTCTTCTGTCAAGACTTCTGAATGAGGCAGGCAACTCTGGAACTGGACTTAGCTGGTTTTCTTCTTATCTGACTGACAGGACTCAGCGTATTGTAGTGAAGCAAGCATCTTCCATGAAAAATTCCGTTACCTTCGGCGTGCCACAGGGCTCAGTTTTAGGACCTATTCTGTTCTCCACGTAAACTCGCCAGCTCGACAGAATTATTGAAATCACGATATTTCCCGCAAATAATTTGGGGATGACGCAGAATTGTGCAAGTCTTTCCGCCATGATCCTTTGGAGTGTGCTGCTGCTGGTCAGGCTGTCAAGTCCGCCATGATCCTTTTGAGTGTGCTGCTGCTGGTCAGATTGTCAAGTCCGCCATGATCCTTTGGAGTGTGCTGCTGCTGGTCAGCCTGTCAAGGACTGCTGTCTTGTTGTGAAAGAATGAATGTCATCAAATAGACTAAAATTAAATGACGATAAGACTGAGACAATTATTTGTGGTTCGGACGCACATCTTTGGAAGGTTGCTATAGCAACAATAAAACAGTTGTTGATTTTGAGATCCCGATGTCCTCTACTGTCAGAGGCCTTGGCTTTTATATTTACTGTAAACTCAGAATGATTCCCCATATTAGTTCTGTGTTCAGGGCATTCTTCTGTCATCTGCACGCCCTGGGTCTGCTGTGTCCTTAAATTCAATAGGAGAACAGCCAATGCCGTAGCGGTAACTCTAATCCAGTCAAGATTAGATTACTGTAAAAGTTGTTTGTGGGGTTTACCTCAGAACCAAATTCAGAGACTCCAGAAGGTACAGAATACTGCAGCACGCATTGAAATCTGACCACATCACCCAAGTTCTTGCGTCTCCAATGGGTTCCTGTAAGTAAGCGCAATGACTACGAAACTCTGTCCCTGGCGTACATCTGTATAGAAAGATCTGCACCAGACTATCTTAAAGAACTGCGTTATAAACACGAATCCTTAAAGAACCTGTGGCATTCAACACTGTCCTTACTGAGAGTTCCCAGTGTGGATGGACACAGTGCGGTCTTCAACACAGTCCTTACTGAGAGTTCCAGTGTGGATGGACACAGTGCGGTCTTCAACACAGTCCTTACTGAGAGTTCCAGTGTGGATGGACACAGTGCGGTCTTCAACACAGTCCTTACTGAGAGTTCCAGTGTGGATGGACACAGTGCGGTCTTCAACACAGTCCTTACTGAGAGTTCCAGTGTGGATGGACACAGTGCGGTCTTCAACACAGTCCTTACTGAGAGTTCCAGTGTGGATGGACACAGTGCGGTCTTCAACACAGTCCTTACTGAGAGTTCCAGTGTGGATGGACACAGTGCGGTCTTCAACACAGTCCTTACTGAGAGTTCCAGTGTGGATGGACACAGTGCGGTCTTCAACACAGTCCTTACTGAGAGTTCCAGTGTGGATGGACACAGTGCGGTCTTCAACACAGTCCTTACTGAGAGTTCCAGTGTGGATGGACACAGTGCGGTCTTCAACACAGTCCTTACTGAGAGTTCCAGTGTGGATGGACACAGTGCGGTCTTCAACACAGTCCTTACTGAGAGTTCCAGTGTGGATGGACACAGTGCGGTCTTCAACACAGTCCTTACTGAGAGTTCCAGTGTGGATGGACACAGTGCGGTCTTCAACACAGTCCTTACTGAGAGTTCCAGTGTGGATGGACACAGTGCGGTCTTCAACACAGTCCTTACTGAGAGTTCCCAGTGTGGATGGACACAGTGCGGTCTTCAACACAGTCCTTACTGAGAGTTCCCAGTGTGGATGGACACAGTGCGGTCTTCAACACAGTCCTTACTGAGAGTTCCAGTGTCGATGGACACAGTGCGGTCTTCAACAAAGTCTTTATTGAGAGTTCCCAGTGTGGATTGAAACAGTGCGGTCTTTAACACAGGCCATACTGAGAGTTCGCAGTGTGGATGGACATAGTGCGGTCTTCAACACAGTCCTTACTGAGAGTTCTAGTGTGGATGTACACAGTGCGGTTTTCAACACAGTCCTTACTGAGAGTTTCAGTGTGGATGGACACAGTGCGGTCTTCAACACAGTCCTTACTGAGAGTTCAAGTGTGAATGGACACAGTGCGGTCTTCAACATGGTCCTTACTGAGAGTTCCAGGGTGGATGGACACAGTGCCGTCTTCAACATGGTCCTTACTGAGAGTTCCCAGTGTGGATGGACACGGTGCGGTCTTCAACACAGTCCTTACTGAGAGTTCAAGTGTGTTGGACACAGTGCCGTCTTCAACACAGTCCTTACTGAGAGTTCCCAGTGTGGATGGAAACAGAGAAAAGTCACACGGAGTGCGCCTTTTTGCATCGATAGCGCCAAAATTATGGAACCGTTTGCCCCAATCTTTGAGGGACATAAAAGTTATGAAAAATTATTGAAGAAACATTTAAAGACTTTTTTTATTTAAATAGATTAAAGAACTTCAGAGCGCAGTGAGCATGCTCAAGTAGCATGCTTAAAATCGCAATGTAAATATTCAATGCAATTAAATGTATAACCTGATGGGGCCCTGTGCGGGATAGCAAATTCAGTTATAATTGGAAGTCTTTTTGAAGCTCACTCATTTGGGGAAATACTTTGGCGTTTCAACACATAATCATTAAAACAGTTATTTTAAATATATAATAATTATTTAATTATTTAAATTTAAATAAAAATACCAAATAAGACATTATTTAAAATCGGATAATATATATATATTTAAAAGGGTATTATTTCCCCCTAGTAGACCCCCACCGCAAACAAACTGTAAATTAGAGCGTCGACAGCGTCTTATCTATCCTTATTAAAGTCAAAACGTGTCATGTATATGAATATGTGCATTCAAAAATAAATCTGCTTACAAAACAACATTAAACAGTATGTGTTGTATTTATTTTTATGATCAATATCAAGGGAAATAGTTCGATGCTTAAATTGAACAAAATATTTTCAAAGAAACAATAGATTAAGTTCCCTTGATCATCAACAATTGAACGATGATTAACATGACATACAAAAGAACAGTGGAGATCTACTTCTACTAACACTATAGTAGAGAATTGGTACTCTTGTTCAGTGGCGTAGCTATGGGGTGTGGGGGAAGCGGTCCCCAACGGGTCACTCCGTTACAAGAGGGGGCACCAAATTTAAAAAAATGCTTATTTATGGAGCACACACTGTTTGGTCTAAACAAAATTCTTAAAAGCGTAACCGATTACAAGTCAATTTTCCACACATAATATAATAATAATAATAAGACGTCTTATATAGCACGTTACCCCAGCCTAGGACTGGGCTCACCGCGCTGTAGATAAAAATTTTATCGAAAGAGA